ATATTTCGTCCGAATTCTTTGTCCAACAATATATCTTTATCTGTGAAATCTTTATCTTGAAAAAAAGTACGTTTTCTCTTGAATAAAGAACCCGTATATGACATATTTCACTTAGTTAAATAAAATGTTATACATCAATGAAATGCTTTCTTTATTTTAAATTTGAAAAGATCATTCACGTACACCATGGGCAATTTGATATAAACAGATAAAGTCCTCGCTCATTTAATAGAGAAAAATGTAAATTAAAGTGCCGTCCCTTGAAATTTATTTGCCACTTATGTTTGATGTTTTTTTTTTTTGTGGATTGGTACTTTTCTTATCCCGACAAGATTTATTATTTTTCCTTTTTGTATTTGTCACTTGTGATTTGGTGCTTGTTGCAAGAAGTTATTTTCAAGGAATCCATGTCATGCAGACTCGTCATTCTTTCTTAATACGAATTATATATCTATGCTTATGATGATGTCCCCACGATTTCCACAATTTCTTTTTTAAGGAAAGAGGAAGATGGGACCTGGTAGTCTAGTAGCAGCCTGTTTTCCACGAATCTGGCCCAAACAACGTTGAATAAAGGATTATGATTTGTTGTATCTCTTCTCGTTGATGTTCATATTATCAATACATTAGAACGTGAAGTGGGATCAATTGAAATATATTCTCTTTTTTGGAGTGAAAGAATAATTTTTTATTGTAGGAAATTTCTACGGCCCTTCCGAGAAATAATGCAACGGGATGAAAAAGAGTTGCCACAACATAGAACGTGAAGTGGAATTGATTGAAATTATATATTTTCTTTTTGTAGGGTATCAATTTGAATAGTTGATAGTATAATTTTAATTACATCAATTTATTTGTATTTTTTAACATTATTTACTAGAGTAACAACAAAACAAACAAGGGAATTGCAATAGAACCAATAACACATAGTACATGTGAAGAGTTACTCTTCTTCTTTCAATGAATCGCAATATATTTGTGAGAACAAGTGTAATATAAGTCGTAATGTTTTGACGATTGATTAATCAAGTCCTAAGAAAAAAAAATTTTGTTAATTGAGTCATAAATATTTTGACAAAGATGCAATCAAGTACTAATAGCACCGGTGGTGACCTTTTGTAACCGAAAATTGTACTCTTAGAGAATATTATGAAATGAAGCATCATTTGAAACACAATCAGAAATAAAACGAGATAAGGATACTAGGTGTGTCATAACTTTCGTATGGCGCTCACTTGAGGGCCATAACTTTTTTTTTGCTCACTTAAGTGCCACTTCCGGCAAAATGTGATCACTTGAGTGTCATTAGCCATTTGGCAGCCGGAAAATCCGACGTGGACGCTAGTCATCCTACGTGGCTTCGCCGGAGCTAACGTAGACAATATTTTAATATTTTTTTTTAATTTTTTGAATTTTTTATTTGCAAATTCTTTTTCAATGCCGGCGAGGGTCACAGGCGACCCTCGCTAGCTGTGAAGGCCTTGTCCAGTTTGGGTGAGGGCCACCTTGCCCTCGGCCGCGAAGGCCTTGGGCGAGGTCGTCGCCAGATCTGGGAGGCCGCGAGTGAGGCCTCGCTAGATCTGGCGAGAGCCTTCACCGCCTCGCTTGTGGCTGCGAAGGCTGTCGCCAGATTTGTGCGGTTGCGAGGGAGGCGGCCTCACCATATCTGGCGAGAGCCTTCGCCGCCTCCCCCGCGACCGGCGAGGCCGCGACGACCTCGCCAAGGGCCTTCACGGCTGCGAGCAAGGCGACGAAGGCTCTCGCCAGAACTGGCGAGGCCGCCTCGCTCACGACCGCCCAAATCTGGCGACGGCCTCGCCCAAGGCCTTTGCAAACGAGGGTAAGGCGGCCATCGCCCAATCTAGGCGAGGCCTTTGCAACCGGCGAGGGTCGCGCGGTGACCCTCGATGACATTGAAAAAAAAAAGGTAAAAAAAAAGGAAAAGAAAAATAAAAATAAAAATTCAAAAAAATTCAAAAAATTCAAAAATAAATAAATTAAAAAACATTAAAAAAATCCACGTAGGATGGTTTGCCGGAAATGGTACTCAAATGATCTATTTTCGCCGGAAGTGGCACTCAAGTGATCTTTTTTTGCCCGAAGTGACACTTAAGTGAGCGAAAAACAAGTTATAGCACTCAAGTGAGCGCCGTACGAAAGTTATGGCACTCCTAGTGTCCTTATCCTGAAATAAAACATATGAATCTTATCGATCGTTGAGTGGAGAATTTGATTAATGAAACTAATAGAGAAATAAAGCCTACATTTTACCTAAAAAGATAAGTAAAACCCAAAGGATATCATTTTCGTTTTGTCTTGAGTCACATAATGTTATGGAAAAATTTTAATTATGTTTTTGAATAAAGTCTCATAATCAAGTTTCTATAGTCTTTTAGGGAGGTGACTTTCATTTGACGCTAGTCGTATAGGATAGGTCGTTTAGTAATTATTTTTACAAGTCAGACGTATAGACCGCTTGATACTACAATGCTAGCTGTATTGGTCGCGTCGTTTAGTTACTATTTCACAAGCTAGCCACATTGGCTACTTGTTGTTTGCTCCTTGGTTCTCAACTTTTTCATTGCTTGTTTCGATAAGCCGACACCACCACCAGACTTGCTACCCTTAGACAAGTTTTAGCTTAAAGTTCGCCTTAAATAGTCGTCGGACACTGCCTCACACATCGCCACGCATCGCCCTGCTGTGGATCCACCAAGCTTGACACCATGCCACGTCGTTGGAGTAACAAGTTTTCGTGGCACTGTTTGACTTGATTTCAAACTTCAGTTGACTTCTTTTAAGTCACCTTGAGTTTGAGAGCATGTTAGAGATATTAGGATATTTACTTGATTCTCTATGTCTATTAGGAATTATGCATATATCTCCTTTGATTGTGTATATTCCTGATTGATTACAACTAAAATCATGTTTATCATGTATTACCTAAAATAGTTATCCAATAAAACCTATAAAAAGGTTCACGTTATCTTCATCAATATACCAAATATACACAAATTTCTTATTTCTCTCTTCCACATTATTATTCTCAACTTAATACATGAATGAAATGCTTTCTTTATCTTAAATTTGAAAAGATCATTACATGTGTCGGACCTTCGTGGAATCATATATTAGCGCACACGACGGGCAAATTTACATGGACAGACGTAATTCTCACTAATTGAAGAGAACAAAATGTGAATGGAAGTGCCGTTCCTTGAACTTGATTGGTCACTCATGTTTGATTTTTAATCCGCAGATTGATTCTTTTTTATCCTGATATGATTGGGGCTGCTCGTTGTAAGTTATTTTCAAGGAATCCACATCATGCAGACTCCTTATTCTTTCTTAATACGAATTATATATCTATAATTCTCTCTGAAGAAAAGAGGAAAATGGCACCTCGTAGTCTGGTAGCCTATTGTTCATGCATCTGGCCCAAACAACATTAAAGAAAGGGTTATGATTTCTTGTATCTCTTTTGTCGTTGATGTTAATGTTTATCAATAAATTAGAATGTGAAGTGGACTAAGTTGAAATTATGTAGAATAATTTTTTATTGTGGGAAATTTCTCAGGCCCCTTCCAAGAAAAAGCACAATGCGACAAGAGAGACTTCCCACGGCATAGAAAGCGAAATGGAATCAATTGAAAGTATATATTTTCTTTTTCGGACGAAAATCGATGGGAATAGTTGATAAAATAATTTTTTAGAGTTAGAAATTTCTCTAGCGCTTCCAAGAAAAAATGCAACGCAATGAAGGAGACTTCGCACCGCTTTCTGGCTCATCCATAAATCCTCACTACTCTTACATCTCTCTCATTATCAAACTCGATCATTATAGTTGATATAGTGTTATTTTCATGGGATGATGCCATAAGTTAATGGTTGATGGTCCGGGCATGCATATTCCACATACGCATATTTCAACCCACTCAATCCTCGGCGCGTGAATATATCAGATTCCTCTGATACTTACTGACATATACTTTTTGTTTAATGAGTCCACTCGAATGCCATTCTTTCTATACCTGATCAAATGCGTCGGCGTGGATTTATCTGGTGCGTGGAAAAGTTTATAGTTTAATAAATTACCACTGACGTGGAATCAATTGAAATTATGTATTTTCCACTTCGAAGGGTACTCAAACTCATATTATTAATTAGAACGTGACGTGAAATCAATTATATACTTTTTGGTCCGTTTGTTTGAGGGAAAATATCTTGATCAATGGAAAATATTTTCGAAGAAACTGCTCTTATGAAAAATGATCAATTGAAAGAAATTCTGGTGTTTAACAAAAAAAGAAATTGATTGGAGTATTCATTAAAAATTGCCTTTAAAACAACAGTTCATTCGTATTTAGAACCAAATCACAAACTTCAAGCTCGATAGGTCTTCTAGTTATTGTTCCCGATGCGAATGAATGAGATGAGTTTGCGAAATCAGATTTGAACTTGAACCGACAGAACAAATCATAGATGGTAAAAACAAAGGAACGTTAGCTTTCTCCGTGAGATCTGAGCATAGGAGTACCCTGAAAGTTCATGAATCCGTGAATGGAGAGAGATTTGTAAGATTCGATCGACAACTGGCCTAGCTGCCCCCTTGAAATCAGGGAGGCGGTCATGCATGCGTGTCGTGCGTGGAGGGTCAAGCGTTGGTGCATTGTTAGCTGTCTGAATCAAGTAGCCATCGTCCTGTTGTGACCCGGGGGAAGATTTTTAGTTTAATAATTAGAACGTGAAGTGGAATCATTTGGAATTTTGTTTTGAAGTGTAATCAAACTCATATTATTAACTTGAATAGCATATAATATAATTTTCTACTGTAGGAAGTTTCCTCGGTCCTTCCAAGAAAATGCGAAACGCAACGAAGGAGACTTCCCACGACTCTTTGGCTCGTCCATAAATACTCCATAATCGCATCGATTGGACACTACTCCGTTACATCTCTCCCCTCATTATTCAACTTGATCACTATACTTTAGCTCCATAAGATGGCAAACAGAAAATATTCCGATGGACCAGCGGCGTCGATCAATAGCAGTGATGTTGAGTCGTCACAGGAGGCTAAGTTTGGGCTGTTGTCGACCGATAGAGGTGACGGCGATTCGTTGCTGGGGGCTGAATATGAAGTGTTCTTGAATTTCAGAGGGCCTGACACTCGCCTAAACTTTACCGACTGCCTCTATCACGCCATGGACGGAGCTGGTATTCGCGTTTTCAGAGACAACGAAGAGATGAGAAAAGGTGAAGCAATCAAAGGCGAGCTGGAGCGTGCAATCAAGAGCTCCGCAATCTGTATTCCCATCTTCTCTAGAAACTACACATCTAGTGCGTGGTGTCTTCGCGAGCTTACATATATGGTGGATTGCAAAGCGATGATCCTGCCGATTTTTTTCGACGTGGAACCCAAAGATGTCAAGCTTAAAACCAACTTCTACCAGGACGCTCTGCAGAGACACAAAGAGAAGTTCAGCTGCGAGGACGTGCAGCGATGGGAGGAGGCTCTAGTGAAGGTCGCTCACATGAAAGGATGGGATGTCAAAGATACCGGGTAAGGTTTGCGCTTTTCTTTTTTTCTTTGATTAGATATTAATTGATCCTACTATAAATAATAGGAAATATTATCATCCTTGAATTGAAAGTTACAACTACCCATTGTTCTATTTTTCATCAAATTGTCACTCAATTCCTACATATTTTTTTACTTCTCACTACATATACACTCAATTAAATCGATACCTTTTAAAAGCAGACGGATTTTGACCCAATTAAATCAATTCCTTTCAAAACTAGATAAATTCTCTATTACGACTTGACAAATCCAATCTGAATTCATCATTCAATTTGCATCTTTTAGATTTAATAGAGGTACCTTTTCTTAACTTCTAAATCAATGTTATGTAGGTTTGATTTAATAAAACAATTGGTCTAGCTATTACTATTTTACTCCATGCAAAACTAGTAAACCGAGCAGACACTCTATATGAGCAATACAAAATGAATAAACAAATCCTTTGCATATATTTAAAGGAAGAAAATCCAAAGGTTTCGATTTTTTTCAATTTATGGATGAGGAAGCATCTTTTACAAAGTTTGAGATTTCATTCTTATCTTAACAATTTACATCTTTGGTCATAGTGTAAAATACCCAATTGCAATTCGTTTTAAGAAATTGACTGGAATTCGGTTGATTGAGGAGATTTTTTTCCTATATAACCACAGAGTACATATACAAAATTATTTGGGAGTGGGGTGGTCGCCCCCGCTTCCTCCCCCATTCCTCCTCTATGGTTGGTTTATGTTTAATTCATAAAATTCCAAAGCTCGATAGTTTAATATTCTATTTGGATGTTTCTTACTAAACCCTTTTATCAAATATGACAGTCATGGCGAACTCATTAAATTAATCGTTGCTGAAGTTTCGATTAAGCTGAATAAAAGAGACAAAAAGCTACCCGATCATTTAGTCGGACTTGAGGATCGTGTTGAAGATGTCATGCGCCTAATAGATGAAGGTTCTCCTGATGTACGTTATCTAGTAATCCACGGAATGGGGGGCATCGGTAAGACGACTCTTGCCAAGGTTGTCTTTAACCAAATTTGCGGTCGATTTCATGGGTGTAGCTTTCTTTTGAGTGTTCGAGAAGCTTCAGAGGGCGGCAATGTTGTTCAATTGCAAAAACAGTTACTGTCCGAAATTCTCAACATCAAACAAGTGGAGATCTTTGACTGTGATGCAGGGATTAATCAAATTAAAAGGAGATTTCGCAACAAGAAAGTCCTCATCGTTCTTGATGACCTAGATAAGCAGGACCAACTCATAAAACTTGCAGAAAAGCATGATTGGTTTGGTCCAGGGAGCAGAATTATTATTACAACGAGGGACACCCACTATTTACCGATTAAAGAGGAGAACCGAAGAAATAATGTCCGGACGCATTTCAAAGAGTTTAAAATCTATGAAATGAGAGAATTGTGCCATCGCCATGCTCTTCAGCTTTATAGTAAGCATGCATTCGAAATGGATTCCCCTCCACATGATTATTATCATATTTCTCGCAATATCATTTCCAAAACCGGTGGACTTCCTTTGGCTCTCGAGGTCATCAGTTCCTCTCTTTGTGGCAAAAGTAAACAACTTTGGAAAGCCACGTTGAAGAAATTAGAGTTAGTTTCCAATCAAGATGTCCATCACAAATTAATGATAGGCTTTGAAATGCTAGAGGTTGCACAAAGAGAAATTTTTCTTGATATTGCGTGTTACTTTATTGGTGAAGAAAAAATCCATCCACATTATATGTGGAAAGCGTTGGATTTTTCTCCAAAAATTGAGATCTTTGTTCTTTCCCGTAAGTCTTTGATAAAGGTTGATGGTGACAATAGACTGTCGATGCATGACCTGCTCAGAGACCTTGGAAGAGAAATTGTTCGACAAGAAGACAAAGTTCATGAGAAGCGTAGTAGACTATGGTCTCCCAAAGATGCATTGAACGTAGTGCAGCATAGAAAGGTACATTTTATTCACAGCTACTGCCTTTTCGATCATGGAAACATCAGCTTGCAGTTTAAAGTATATTCTTGAATGTGTTCTTTTGTCTGTGTTGTGCATCGCAGAAAACAAAATTTGACAATTTTGAGTGAAATGAAGGTACTATCATAATTTATATCCGTTGGTTTTTGGTCTGATACTACTTGTTGACTTTTGGTCTAATATCAATGTTGGACTGCGGAAGCATGATTGTATTATCACTATTTAGTTTGTGGTTTAATATGCAAGTGTGTGTGATATATTTGGAAGAGGATGACAAGAGAAAAAGGTAAGAGAATTTCAAGGATATAGGGAACGGGATAAGGATAGATATAGTTTCATTATTTCGACAAATTAGTTATACTGCTCCCCACACAATTACATGAATGATTCTAAGCTCTATTTATGGAGCAATTCCACCAACTTTGATAGGAAAAATCTCTACCGAGTTGTTCTGAGATATTTTTTTTCCTTTTTAGTTTTTTTAGACACAAGCATACGTTGGACTTATATCCAAGATATTTTGTTGCCTTTGTAGAGAAGGAGAGGTCTAGATGCTCCTTGAAAATGGATCACTTATTTTAACAGTATCTAGCAATATATATTAATTGCTTACATTTACAATCCGAAAGTTGAAGCAACCAAAATGATTTACTTATAGAACAAGTCTATATGATATTTACTCACAGAATGAACTCTTTTTCTTCACTGTAGAAAGTTTACTTATGCCTTTTCATGTTGTCAGGGAACAGAGAACATCACAGCACTCAAATTAACTGGACTTCCAAAAGAGCACAACTTTACAAGTGAAGAGTTTTCATGGCTGCCTAACTTAAGGTTGTTGGAATTAGAGGGGGGAAACTTGGTAGGAGATTTTAAGAATCTTCTCTCAAGTTTAAAATGGCTCTCTTGGCGTTGTTGCCCTTCAGACTTGCGAGCGATCAATTTATGTTTACAGAACTTAGTCGTGCTCAAGCTATCAGACAGCAAAATTCCTAAGAATTGGAATGGATGGAGCCCATGCTTGGTATGGTATTGCATCACAAATATACGTTTGTTGCCATTACCCTTGCCTTACTTTTCTAATTCTAATTTGTTTCACAGGCAAATCGTGAATTGAAAGTTATACATCTCATGAGATGCCATCTTTCGACAACTCCTAACTTCTCAACATGCTTGAATTTGAGGGTACTAGTTTTTGTTGAACATTGTCTAGAGTCGCCACAAATCGGTAGCTCCATCAGTAAGCTAGAGCACCTAAAGCGCTTGGAAATAATTGCAGCTAGAGTTCAGCCGTCAAAGTTGTCTAGAAGCCCCCATTTTGACCTGTGCGCTGTGCCTTCTGCAATATGCCGTCTAAAGTACCTGTCAAGTCTAAAGCTGGAGGGGCAGTGTATACGAGAGCTTCATCCATCTATTGGAGAGATGGCAGCCTTGACATGCTTGTCTTTAATGCATTGTTATCAGCTTAGAAAGCTTCCATACTCTATTGGGAAGTTGAGATCATTGCTCGTGTTGAATTTGTTCAACACAAGAATCAAAAAATTACCTGATTCTATTGGAGATCTCGTAAGGTTGGAGAAAATGAACCTGGGATACACACGGATAAGGGAGCTACCAAATTCCATTGGAGGACTAGAATCATTGCGTGACTTAGACTTGCAGTATTCAGATATTAGAGCACTGCCTGCTTCTATTGGATATCTTAAAAGACTGCAGCGATTATATATGATTTTCAGTAAGATAAGAGAGTTACCTAATTCTATTGGAGATCTCAAAATGTTGGAGGCAATGCACCTGGGATACACTCAGATAAGGGAGCTACCAAATTCCATTGGAGGACTAGAATCATTGCTTCTATTAGGTTTGCAAAATACAAAGATTATAGAACTACCTACTTCTATTGGTCATCTTAGAAGGCTGAAGATCTTCCATATGCGGGGGAGTAAGATAAGAAAGCTACCGAAGGCCATAGGGATGTTAGAGAATCTTACATCATTGGGATACGACGGTTATAGAAATATAGATATGACATGGCCTCCTCAACTTTCACAGCTTTTCATATCTGGTGATGATTTTCAATCACTCACATGTCCTCCTCAGCTTTTGACACTCGACACATTTTGTTCTGATCGTCAATATCTCACAAGGCTTCCTTTAGGTCTTCGTTTTTTGGTATTACACGGAGTCAAGTCACCAATAGAACATCGACTCCTTTTTGAATTGAGATATTTGTCCGACTTATGGCTCTGGGGATGGTGCTTGACGGAGATCGAGATTGAACAGCTAGAGAATCTCCATTGTTTAAGGGTGTGGGACTGTAAATCATTAGTGAGGCTTTCGGGTCTATCAAGATTAGGGAAGCTCGAAGTGCTGGATATTCGTGATTGCTCACAGCTAATCGAGATTCGAGATTTGGGGGAAATAGAATCCCTAGAGACATTACATATTCAAAAATGTGGCTCCATAGAAAGGTTACCTGATCTATCAAGACTACATAAATTGCAGATTTTGTCCGTATATCAATGTAAATCGCTACAAGGTTTGCCTGATTTATCAAACTCGCTAGAGGCATTATTAATTAAGGATTTGAGCTCTATAGAAAGGTTACCTGATCTATCAAAGCTACAAAAGTTGCGGGACTTTATCATATGTCACTGGGAATCACTGCAAAGTTTGCCTGATTTACCAAACTCACTTGAGAATTTGTCAGTTGAGAAATGGAGCTCCATAGAAACATTACCTGAGCTATCAAAATTAGTCAAGTTGCGGACATTGCAGCTCTCTCACTGCGAATCACTGCAAGGTTTGCTTGCTGTACCAAACACATGTCATCGCGATATTCATGCTTGCCCACTGTTAGGCGAGTCTGGTGACATTTCCGTTTCTTGCCGATGGTGTCGGAAAGCCAACCCGGGCCTATCTTCAAGGTGGCCACCTATGTGTTCTTAAGACGTGGTACTCTTTCCCATTTCACACGTACTTTGCCTTATTTTCTTCATTTATTTCTTTTCCCTTCCCATTTCTTTAGTTCATTGTCTACTTTCAAACAATCAGACAACTTTTTTCTGTTCTTCCCCTTCACTTCTAAAGATGCATATCCCCTTTTATCACATTATAAAATAACTCAGTCTAATCTTATCTAGTTTAATTAAATAAATGCATGGCGTTGATGAGTGCTTTATGAGAAGTTGGCGTTGACACTTTCTCCATCTAACACCTGGCAATTTTCTTCTATTTTTTTTTCTTTTCATAGGCTAACTTAGTTATGATTAACAAATGAAGAAATTCCGTCATTTCTTTGTAAAGAAAAATCACATCAAGCTCCATCATAATAGTACAAAAACTTGTCACCACCAGGTGACAAAGTTAAAGGGAAATCATAACAAAAGAAAGCTACTCCAAGAATATCATTTAAGTCTATGTCATTAACCAATTTTCATAACTAACGTGGCATGGTCATAACAAACTCGGCCTTGAAGTTAAAAGAGGTTAAATTCAAATTATATAACAAACAAAAAGTGATTTTATCAGTAAATATTGTATTGAAATTGAAAGTCTATGGTATAAGAACAAAGTTATAGGCACAAATAGATCCTGAAATTTTATAAAATGTCCAATTGGCTCTCTGAACTTTTTTTGTTGGGGGTCAATTGAGTTCTTGAACTATGTACAATTTTGTTCATATGGGTCCTTTTAAAAAAAAAAATGCTGACATGGTCATTAAATCACCGTTAAATGCAACAATGGCGTCCAAGTTGACAACGTGAGGGATTAAATATCAACATCTGAAGGTAATTTTTATTGCTGAGATGATAAGCAATGGTGTATTTGGAAAGGTCAGTTACGAATTAGTGTGTTTGTGTGGAACTAGATATTGAATCAGGTAGGATATGATAGATAAACTAAGGAGGAGTTTGTGAAGTAATGCCCCTCAAGTGCTCTTCAACAAACATGCAACTTTGCTATCAATCTGCTTTTACTCCCTTGATTATGATCTTTTGGTTCTTCTACTTTTCTTTCCTATTTTTTGTTTCTAATTAAATAGTCAATTTATACGCTGGGAACATTGAGGAGCGCAACATTTTGTTTTGATACTTTATATTTGTTCGTTTACCTGCAATGGACATATCCGAAACCACGTGCGAGTACCTCCTATTTAAGGTTCATAAACTTTTTAGCTCTTTTGAGATATACAGTCAGTCTACTGCGTAATTGATAATTTCAGGCTTGGAATTTCGCTTGAATTTCTCTCAGTTTGTGTCGCTAACTCTTGACACAATATATTATTAGCTGGACTCATAGATTAGGGTATGATGAGAAACAGAACTTTCATCCTAGATTCCTATGATTATGATAAATTATATAGTTCATAATATAAGTCGCCTTATAGTTTTTGAATTGATGCTTCAAGTTTTGTGATAAGTGGTTGAAGAATGCTTCGAAGTTAGCTTTGTTGTCATGGATGAAAAGCTTGAATCTCACATCTTGCGGTATTTCTGGATTCCAATGATACTGAGATTGCTAATATCCCCGCAAACTACAACCTATGTACACATGCTGATGTCGCGACCTAACCTCCTACGGTGCACCACCTAGGGATTCGGCTAATGAATTACTAAGCCTAAACCTTGCTCAGGCTCTCCCAAACCCATATCAATTCGCGACTTAGGTTCAAATTATTTAACATGCAAGATCATTTCAATTATGAGTCGCCACTAATCTATTTTTTGGTGGTTCGATTAAAAACTCAAGTAAAGTATCGGGCGAATATCTTTACTTCTACGAACCAGAGGTTATGCATTCGGGGACTTGATTACGCTAGATTACTTTAACGCCCTTTCGGTACATTTTCTCTTTTATTAAAAAAAAAATGTTTGCAAGCATGCTGGATTGATTTTAAACATATGCACTAACATATGAGGTGATCATGCGAGTGCGCAACCATTAATGAAACACCAAATAAAGCAAAGTAATAAGTAAATTAGAAGATAAAGAGGAAAACTTACCTTGAAACAACGAAAGCATATGCAATATTAGCTAGAAAATCACATAATCCTCCTAAATATGATTTCTAATTAACATGCAATTCCACTCAAATCTTTTTTTTTAGGGTTTTCTTTAATTTAAATGAGAACTAACCTATATGCAATTCATGTAATGCAATTACTCTAATGTGATGAGGTACAAAGCATGCCTCTTGTAACGTGACACGCAATTTCATGATCCTAACATATAATCACTAAATGATATGCAAGCAATGACATGTCATACATGATGACTAAGCAAGTTATGAATGACGTGATAAGATGACATGCGACATAGCACATGTGAATGACGTAGCGAGAAGACACGCAACGTGACACGTAGCAATGACATGGCAGTGATGATGCAAGCATTATGCAATTAATCTTATATGACATGCACATGTTTATTTTTATTATTATTTTATATTTTTTATGAAATTCGAAATTAATTAAATTCCCTAATATTAACATGCAATCTATCCTAAAAATAATCTACTTCAATTGTATCTATTTTTTTTTTAGAAAAACAAGATCAATTCAAATCAAACAAAAATAGAAATCAAGTCGACACGACACCATCTTACATAAGAAATATTACCGATATCTATTTAAATTTAGAAACGATAGATTGACGAATCGTATCCTAGGCATGAGATCGGATTGGCCAATTTTTCCACACAATCGCAAATCGTATCTTGAGCGAGAGATCGAATTGACGATTTTCCGTGTGATCGCGAATCATATCACGGGCGGGAGATCAGATTGGCGATCATAGCACGTTATGAAATTAGGAAATAATTCCTAATTTAAAGGATATCCTAGAATTTTCATGAATATGGTAACATTATTCAAAAGTCTAAACAAGATCGCGACTTCACCCAATTAGGCAACAAAATATATGAAAATCGAATTAATGAAAATTCTTACCTAATTTGCGATATCACCTGGATAGCGTTTCCAAATTCCAACTTGACGGGATGGCTCGGATTGCTGTAGCTGACAGTGGCATTCACGGTGGACTTGGCTATGTGGTGTCTTGGCCAAAACTTGCGGCGACGCGGTGGTGTGGCAGTGCTTTGGAGTTCTCATAAAACCTGTGAAATAGAGTCTAAGTTTGGTGAAGAAACGGAGTAACGCAGCACCGATTGGGGATTTCGTCGGGACTGGTAAGTTTGATAGGACCGCTTGCGGAAGTTGCTGGTCTTGGCGTTGTCACGGTGGCTTGGGCTCTCAGTTGGCTGCTTGGCGCCAGGAGTACTTGCTAGGAGGATATTGAGACGTAATGATATTTGAACAGACCGTGCGTGGCAGCTTGTGGAGGGTGCAACAAGGTGAGGTGTCGAGAGCATAGAAGCAAAGCTTCACTAGAATCCAGACTTTGCGTGCATGAAGATGAGCTGTTGATGAAGAATTGGCCTTGACTTCCTCCCTCTCTATTGTCCTCTCTTATTTAGAAAGCTGCGGCCCCGCTCCCCTCTTTTTTCCTGTTTTCTTCTGAGCCTGTAAAGAGAGATCCCAAGGTAGGAGTTCTCTCCTTTTCCAATTTTCTTTGCGTAGTCTCTCTCCTCTCAATGGGGCCGTATATTCAATATGTGTGGCCTCCTCCTGTTAATGTGCCGGCTCTCTTTTATAGGTGAGAGAGTCTGCGATATCAAAGAAAGAAAGCAAATCATATTTCCTCTCTTGGATGCTCAAAAGATATCATGTTTTTGTCCTTTCCTCATTTGCTTTGCTTTTTGCCTTCTGCTCACGGATCTCGACGCACGAAGATCTTTAAAACATATTGCCTTTGCTACTTTCCTTTGAAAATATGTCCAGCTCTTGGGATCGTGATCAACCCATATATATTCTTCGTTTTTTTACCCTCACGGTCAAAATTGCTATACTGAACAAAATTATTTTCCAATTTTGCCCCAGTAAATGTTCTCTCACCTTAAGGGTCCGGCCATGTCATGGGTCTTGGGACAATTTTTCTTCACCGCGGGCTTCGTCCAAACTAATTAAGCTCTGAGCCATTCGCTTAAGTCCATCCGCCGCCAGTTTAATGCAAATGCAACTATATGAGCCTAAATACTAATTTAAATGCTTCTAATCTATATGCAATTTAACTAATTTTTTTTTATCTAGGGACCGGGATCGATCCCTAGTTTTTTATGAAACAAACAACTGACTAGGTCGCCAAAATTTAGGTGTCAACAGCTAATATAGGGTACTCTTACATTGTGGATCGGTAAAATTGGCAAACTGAACAATGACCAGTTCTTTTAACCAAAAAAAATAAAAAAAACAAGAACAATGACCAGTTGACCATAAAATTAGAAAGAGTTTACACAACTTTTGAAATCTTGGAAAATGACTTGTTTGAGAAATTATAGTAACATCAAATTAAATGTTATTCTAAACATGTAATCTCGCAACACAAATTGGCAAAAGAGACTTTCTATGTTACAAAATGAATGATTGTGGATCAATGTAAGTCCTTGTGATTCTTGACACGATTCTTCTTGGAGCAGAAGTAAGTCTTTTTTGATGTTTAGCTCTTGTACTCTTACTACTCTACCTTCAATTGAGAAAGAAGAAGAAATAAAAATAATTTCGATTTTCCCCCCAATTTGCTTGAGTCAAATGTAAAGTGAGTGAAAATTTACTGCAATTGGTTTATAGAAGTCATCTTATATGCATGGTTTCTTCCATGTCAAGAAGGATTCTGTTTCTAAAATTAATGGCATGATGTCCTCCAAATTACTTTCATTATTCATTTTTTTTGGCAAATAATATTCTAACAAAGTGTTTGCTTACTTGACATCTACTTCTCGATCCATTTTCACAGCGAAAACTGCAAGCGTCAACCATTTAGTAGGTGTAATATTCACCATCTGGGATTCAGTTCTCAGTCAATCAAAGTTGTTTGAATGTTTCAGCACT